TCATTTCTGTAAGTGCAAGGTTGATATCAGCCCCTGCCTCTGTGTGTGTGTGTGTGTGTTCGCTCTCAAAGATGTCTGTATATGTATACATACATGCTTATATACGTACGTACACACTTACGCCCAGACAGAGATACAAACGTACATACATGTGGACACGTGTACATGTGCATATGCACACACGTTGATGTGCCTCCCAAGACCTTAGATTTCGGCTGCTTTGAGGCTAACGGTGCTCGCTATACCGGCCAATGGAGCGAGGGGCGCTTCCACGACGAAGGCTATCTTCAACTGGCCGATGGGACGACTTTCGCGTGAGCCCGAGGAAGTTTGGTTGGGTGGGTTCTTAGAATCACGCGTCCAATGTTGCTTCTGATTACAAGGGTCCTGTTCACAGGCTGAGGGCTAAGGGTAGTGCAGAGTGCTATTTAAAGCGAGGGTGGCCAGCGGCTCGGGCACCGAACTATGATCAGGTAGTAGGACCTAGTAGGAAGGGAGGTGTCGAGAGTTCGTAGGCGATTTTGTTGGATCCGGAAAGAAAGTCAAGGGTGGCGTCTCCACCCCGACCACGGCCAGGGGCCTGCTCCATGCATGTTGTCGGGCAAGGACTAGCTGTTCAGGATCCTCTGCACTTCCAGAGTCCTTGCATGGAAGGGATCTTGACAGGAGACCGGCGCTTGAAGGATGCGCTACTGCAAGATAGAGTTGTTGAACACCATTAGTCTCATCCTCCTTGAGCTCGTCTTTTATCTTTCCGTAGCTTGAGGCTTGTTGTACTTATCCGAGGATGGGAGCTGGCGAAAAGGCAAGCAGCATGGCGCTGGCAAGCTGCATCTTCCGGACACCCGGCCTGACCGTACCATACCGTAGAGCCGTTTATGTACCCCTTCTGATACCCCCAAGAACCTCCCTCAACAAGAGGCCCTTGTCGCCCAAGGTTGATGGGGTTCGGTGAGTTCTACCAGGGGTTCGGGAACCAGAGCCCAAGACGGAGCTCAAGAAATTAGACTCAAGGAGGGAGAGCCCTAGAGTCCTAGAGGCTACTTGTAGGGCTTATATGGTTTATGGGTCAGAGAGTTCGAGCCCAAGACCTCGATGTAGAGGATTTTAGACCGTGCTTGAAGGCACCGGGCTTCATTTGGTGGTTGGACGTTTAGTTTGTTGCTTTGGCTTGTGTCTGTGTGTGCCTCTGTCTCTGTGCGTAAGGCTTTCGGGATTGTTGTGGCGTCCTTTCCGGCCTGGCATGCAGCCCCGGCAACAAGCCGGATCTAGAGCTGCCTACCGCCAGGACGGCAAGACCTTCGAAGCTCTTCGCCTGAAATCTTCTTCCGAGCCCGGGCGACTTTTACGCCCTCGGTTTAGTTTCGATCTTCTCAGTTTGGCCGATGTTAAGCGCATCCCGGGCTTCGACTCAGCTTCAAGGTAAGGTTATGGAAAAACATGAATCGTTGGCGCCGTCAGTTGTGCGTTGAGCAGACAGTCGGAGAAGCTTTCCGCAACGAGGACCTGCGCAAAAGTGCCTGTAGGATTCAATATGTTGCCTGATTCAACCATCATGTTTTTGTTCATTGTCTCTTGCACTTTCTACCATTGCCGTTCTTGGTGGCACTGGGCTTGTTTTTTGCCAGCAGCTGCATGCTTATTGTCTCTGCCTTGGTCTACTTACTGCAGTTTATCGCCTTTTTCCGGCCGCTGCATGGGTAAAGGCTACCCCCCTTTTTTGCTGCCAGTACTTGTGATGGTTTACGGGGTTGTTGCTTACTGCTGTTGTCTGTCAGCTGCGTTATTCCAGTTCGCAGCTCTTCATTGTTGTCGCCAGTGGTTCAGCGTGACGGCCTAGTGCCTAATCGTGTCTGATCATCACCGTAGTTGCGAGGGTGGTCCAGCTTTTGGCAGAAGGCCACAACTTTCGTGCCCTGCAGTGTGCCCAGGGCCAGTGGGTCAAGGGCGAGGTTGAGGGCAAAGGAACCCTCACCTACGGTGACGAGCTGGCATGCTTTACTGATGGTGACGTTTTTTTCTATTCTCGGCCGTATGTTTATAATGTATGGACCCCCAAACCCGGAAGCCTAAACCAAAGGTAAGTCCGAGAGTGAGTGCTGAAACCTACACTTTCGACCATGGGTCCCCGCCTGGCTAGTCCGAGTTGTGAGAGCGTAAACCTACATCATGTGTGTTTCCATTGCTTTGAGCATCTGGCTCCAGCTGTCTTCTGCTGCTCGGCTGGAAGTTTTCCACGGCTCTCTCGTGCTTTGCTTGGCCCTGACAGGATGACCGCAAGAAGTACAAAGGCCAGTTGGCAGCTCAGCCGTACATGCTACCGAGGGATCTTGCAACTTCTCCGCCTCAGGTTCCGGGCAGCAAAGCCTCACGGCTTCGGGTCCATTGTTTACGCAGACGGCTACGCGGCAGGAGTAAGGAAAGATGATCGACTTGGCATACTTTCCCGGCCGACTTCCCGGGTCCGGAAGCAAAAGCATTATGGTAAATGGTTTGAGGTTATAATTATGATGATCAGGGAGAGGGAGAGGAGCAAAAGATTGAAAGAGCCTGTTACAGCACTTGCATGCTTCTTGCATCGTCAATCGTCTTTCCATCTACACTGCAGAGCTGGTCTCAAGAGCCATGAGCTAGTTTGTGTGTTTGTGCTTTTGCATCCCAGGGTTGTGAAGTATTGCGATTTCGTCCTTTTCCTGTAGGCATCCACCTGTCGCATCCCGAAAATCCCCCACGACGGTGCTCCTGGCTTCCATGCAGCTACAAGATCGATCTTACATACGTACATATGTACATACATATCTACACACACGCACACATGTGCGGCGAAAACGTGTTCCAGTTTTTTGTTTGCAATATTTTGGCATGTTCCAGTAAGAGGTTGCTTAAGATCTGGGCCGGAGGTCTGCATTACTGGGGCCGCCTCAGACGGAGGCATACAGTTGGTGTCCGACAAATTGGGGTTTAGGGTTCATAGGACAACCCTGTAGAATGAATACCATCCGGTCGTCTTCTGGGACATCGTCTTTGCCGGCTTGTTTCGTATTGGCAAGGAATCGTTGCTTTGTGCTGTTGTATGCGGCTCGGCCTCTTCTTGTCTGATATAATTGATAGAAATAGCACTCTTAGTAATGGTACTGGTAACAACATCACCCAAACGGAAGAACTTGGTTCTTTGTCGGAGAGAAGCTTCAATCTTGTTCAATGAAGCCGCGACCGGATGCAAATCCACTCCGACGGTAACGTGGGAATCGCAGTCGGTTGACCTGAAAGCAGCAAATGAAACAACAAAAACATCCCTGGTTGTTTCGAATCTCGATCCGGAATCCCACCCTTTGACATCATTGTTGATATTGCTTGGGGCCTTCCTGGAATACAAACTGATGGAACGAAAGCCCTTCGTCAAGGCAACGACCAAAGCAAAGTCACGGTGCAAACAAATCGTTCGGTAATGAAAATCATACAACCCTGCACGTAGGATTTAGTTTAGGGGTTGGGGCAGAGTTGAGCGGATCCCAAGGCTTGTCCTACGAGGGACAGTGGCAGTACGGCGCGAATCTCAAAATCTCCAGGCGTGATGTTACATAGAACTTACACGGTCTGAGCCCAATACCCGTAGCCCCGACAAATCGCTTGAAATCATGATGGCAGTCCCTTTGCAGTCCCAAACCTTAAACTGGGAGAAAATCAGCTGTAAAACAACCAACTCTACAGTTTGAGGAACATCCAGAAAGGGTTACAGAGGCTTCATGGGCCGACGATCTCCTGGCATCACGGTACTCTAGGGGCCTGAATAAATTGAAAAAATTAACAATGCCATCCATTCCTTCGAGTTCCTAATGACACTGTAGCATGATATGCCCTGGAACCCTATTCTCATCATGAAGGCCCCTATGTTCAAGCCGAAGCGCTAGACCCAAAACCCCCACTTGGTCAGCTGGGCAGGCAGGAAACACCCAAAGCCCCAAGCTTGGGAGATGGCAAAGGGTGGTCAAAGAAGAAATCCGTAACTTCAACCCCGAAAAACGTAAACCCAAGACTAGAAGGGGGGTTGTCCTTGCGAAGTAGGAGGCAACAGACTCAGGCAAGCCAGCTGGCAAAGGCAAGTGGTGCACCAAGGAGTCGGAGGTTGGAAATGGCTGGAAGTTTTATGTTTGGGATCAGGGTTTTACGAGTTAGAGTCTAGGGTTACGGATTTTCATGTTGGAGTTTATCTATTGGTGTTTAAAGCTTAGAGTTATATGGATTTGTGCAGAGCTGCATCAGGGATTTGAGTTTGGGGGTTATGGTTTAGGGATTATAGGAGGCTCTGCGGAATCCCTGCTGGAGACTCGAGGTGTAAGACCCAGAATGACACTTGCGGCTTTTAGGGTTCAGCAGTACAGAGGGGGAGTCTAGACCCCGCAGCTACCTGCAGCTACGAAGTCGAAAGCCGCGGCCCTTTGACGTGACTTGGGTTTGTCAGTTAGCTGGGTCCTTTGTTACAGCGGTCCCTCATTTCAGCAAGATTCTAAAACCCTAAAGTCGAAAACCTCATGAGGGTAGTTCTATTCTGAATCAGGGTACAGTACGGCACCCTTATAAAAACGGATCCTAAAAGGGACCCTAATCTAGAGAACTTCCCCATGAAGGGAGCCACCTGGTTTAAGACGACTTGACCAGAACAGCCCCTGGTGAAGACCGCTTGCACTGATCCGGCCTTTTTGGGGGATGTCTTGGGGGCCAAAAAGGAACCTTAAACCGCTCCAAGCCCGAAGCTCCCGAAACCCGAAAAAGGGTTTAGGGTCAAAAAAGGGACATCTCACAGGGCCGGGAGCTGACCCCCGTCTCCTCTGTGCGGCCGTCACCGCGAGAGCTGCAAGGGGTGCTGGGCACAGGTGCGCAACGGGGATGTTCTTTATACACATCGTGAGAGCAGATAGGCTTCTGCAAAACGGGAAGAACGTCTGTCATCATCAAGATGCTCGTCATCAGCTTGGCTCGACTGCCATGGAACTGCCCAGATGACACTCTGCAGCACTGGGCTCCTGGACCGGGGATGCTCGCAGTGGTGCGCCGCTCGTCTGCGACGGAGACTAGCAACGGCAATAGAGCAGAACTCCGGCAGTGCGACCACTAAACGTGTTTCTTGAACTCAAGTTCGGAAGGTTCGAGTTCCTTGTGCCGGGGTGTCGACGTCAACATGCTGATGTCTGGCTAGCCTTGTAGTCTGCGGTTTCGAAGCAATTGAGGCTGAAAAGACGTCAACCACGGAGAACCACGAGAGTCTGCCCACTCTTCTGCGCTCGATCTACAAAGGCCTGTTCAGTTCAATCGTAAGTTGATGACATGGAGTGGAGGGAAAGAGACACAAAGATTTGAGGCTTTGGGTTGTTCTTCATTGCTCTGCTCTGAAGGCAAGCCACGCCTGTGCGACAGTGAGGCAGCGGACATCTCGACAGTCAGCTTCGACAGGTATTTGAACCTTGTCTCGTTATATTGGGCCCAGCTTGCGTGCATCGCAGATGTCCGAGAATGTCGAGAGAATATTGACAATATACTGCAGCATCAGCAACAGAAGAAAGCTTTTATAGTCATCCAGATATACACACATATGTATGTATGTATATATATATATACATGTGTGTGTCTACATGTTTTTATTTACGAATTTGTTTATACTGTAGCATCAGCAACAGAAGAAAGCTTTTATAGTCATCCAAATATACGCACATATGTATATATATATATATGTATGTATTTATGTGTACACACGTTTTTGTTTACCAATTTATTTTGATCTACAGCAGTGTAGACATAGTGTGCTTCATCTCGCTCTCACTCCTCATTGTGCCTCTCTTCTTCTGCCTGTCTACATATACACATGCATACATGATCATGAAATGCTGTATCCCATTCCAAGGCCCGACTTCGACAAGAAGCTCGGAGCAGGAGCGTGGTTGCAAGGGCTGCTGTACTTAGGTCCAGGCCGCCATTCCAGCACGTAGGTTATGTTGGGTTATCATCAGAATGTGCATGAAAGTGGCCGTAGTAGTCGAACAGTGGCGCTAGAAAGAAACGACCCATAAGAGTATGGGCAGTGCGCGTTTGTACATGCAAAGGTCAGTACTCGCAAGAAAAGACTGGCAACGGCACCACACTGACGATTTTCGAACTCGATCAGCCGCACTTACCCTTGTAGTACGTGCATGCTGTGGATGCCAAAAAACGGCCGGGACAGCGATACTTCAGCAACACCAAGAATCAAGAATTTCAGCAGCAACGCCATCCGAAATCTATTCGAATTACTTTGCTCAGGTTCAATGGCCATGACGACGATGAGGGTAATCTCTGGCAAGATGTGGTAATGATGCTAGCGCTAACATGGTCGTGGTGCCGGCGATGCTGATGCTGGCACTGAAGCTGGTGTCAGCCAGTGCTGCTCAGGTGAGGCCATTGATGAGGATGCAGACTGCCAGTTGTTAATGGTGGCACCTGACACAGGAGCTTACGGTCAAGTCTATCCGGTTGTTGGCATGCCGGACAAGGCGGGAGAACGGATGACTTAACTGCGTCCACCCTTGTGCTCCGAATCTTCAACTCGTGAAGCCTAGGCCTGCATAGGCACAAGGGGGAAAGACCCTACTTAAACTCGCAGCCCCAAGCCCCGAAAGTGGACGAGGTGGTGAAGATCTTCCGGCGGAATGATTGGACGGAGGTTGTCAAGGAGTCTTCCTTCGCCCGGTGCATGAAGGCGAACCTGCGATGACATCCCAGAAATGAATAGCCTGAAACTCCTTCCTCTGCTTATGTTTTGCTGTCGCGGGCAGGCTGTTGTAACTGCATGACACTTGCATTCGACTGCTGTTGTGCTGATAGTTCCTCTTGCGTTCGCATCGCAGTACAGCACCCTAGCTCTCAGACTGCAGTCATTCATCATCTTTCGTGCTTTTCGCTTCGGCTTTCCGGGCCTTGTGCTCAGTGAAGGCACGGGATCCCAGCCACTACGTTGACTGCCTGGGCATCGGCAGCACCAGAAGCACAGCTGATTGCGCCGATCATTTCTTCGCTGTGTGCCTGTGGGGATGAAAACTAATCAAATCCAATCCACATGTCTACACATCTTGGGGTTTATGTTTAGGGTTCATGGGTCTTGAAGATTTCTGAAGGTTTGAACGTGCGCCGGGAATCACTCTGGGCGATGCTGCGTATCGGTTCCACCATCCCTGCGGAATCTTAGCTGCAGCAGGGGCGAATAGTTTTTCGAATCGTCGGAAGAGCTTCCCGAGATTGGGCCCAGGTATTCTCCACATCTGCCAGGCCCTGGACGTTTTGGACCAGCTTCTGTCTATCATCGCCGACATGATGATGCCGGATGTTTCCTGGCCTGAAGCAGTTGCTTGCCGTCTTTGAGTTGACCTACAAACGATACACCCATGTCCCACGGCTAACCTTCATGTTCGAAAGCTCATGACGGTTAAGCGCCGGGCGAGCGGGGGACAGGTGCAACACGTCCTTTTCGGATTTGCCCAAGCTCCCTACTCACAGCCATGCTCCTAGGACGCCGGTTCGAGTGGATCCCAGTGATGGGCCTCTCGACCCCCAGATCCCTAATCCCTAAAATTAAGACACCCCTGAAGCCCAAGCCTAAGCCTAGTTGTCAGGGCTGACATCCGAAGCCCTAAATCAGCCCTCCCTGGGAATCGCTGAGGCGACGGGTCTTCTGCAGATTCATCTCGACCTGAAGCCTCAGATCCTTGTCTGGGAGTTACGTTTTCAGGATTAAGGACTCCGGGCTCTGAGGCTTCAGGGGGGTTCAGTAGGCTAAGAGGGCTCGTGGTCGAGGTCCAGGGTGTAGGTGGGACAGTTTTTTGGGGTTCTGGGGGGGCTCAGGTACGGAGGCTGCGCAACTCTTTTTTCGGGATCGTGGGAGGGTCCGTGCATGGAGGTGTTTTGTAGCATGGTCGGACCACGCATCTGTGCTCGGCTCACAAGTAAATGCGCGTCATCAAATGTCAGAGCAGCGCTGCAATATAGCCCAAAGAAGTACCAACAGTATTCCGTTGGGTTTCCTTGTTATGGTTGAATTCACTATTATAGTATAGCCCAAGGTCCCCTTCTAGTTATTAAGGCCACTGTTTCATGCGAGCATCATCAGGATCCAGTCGCCTGACAGCCGAGATTCCGAGGCATGGAGACCTCATCCTTGGTTGGAGAAACGCTGCAGAAACTTACAAACTCAAAATGTATGGAAAGCATCCCAGGAATATCATGGTGAGTACATCTCCGGATGGGCTTCTAAAGGTAGCTCGGCCATATACTTTGATCCTGGAAGATTGGCATTCGGATTGGGGATTGCTTGGCTTTACCGTCGAACTCGAATGACTTGACTTTCATCTTGGAAAGCCGGAGGATTCCGGAGGTTCCTTGGAAGCTGCATGGGTCCCTTGCTTTCGGGGAAATGATCACAGGCGACTGGCACCCAAAAACCTTGTCGATGCTTTGTGTGCTGTGTCTTGTTCCTGTCCTTTGTGTCTTTTCGGTGCCGATGTCCAAGTGTCCGGAAGGCAACATCAATGTGTTTTTTCCGAAACTTCGTCAGCTGCTGTCCAGCATGAGAGGGAAGGAACAAAAGCGCGGCACAAATGCCAAACCGTATCAGTTGTGTCACAGGTTTTGGCTCTGGGCAGGCATATCGATCCGGTAGGGAAGTTTTTCAACTGCTCCCGGGATGGCGAACGATGAGCACAAGCAGTTGCTGGAACTCCCATGCACCCTAGGCGTTTTGGAGAACACCTTCGGCGTGATCCAATCGGAGTCCATGGACTTGCAAAACGACCCGAGGTTCTTTCAAGGCAACATCCTGAACAAGAGGCTGTCTGCATTCGCCCAGCTCGGTGTGGTGTCGGGTCTCATGATGACTGCCGCCAGCCACATCATTGAAATGAAGAAAGAGTTCAACTTTGTCACCTTCGAAGGCTGGATGCGAGTCATAAGCTTCTTGATGATGAGCTTGGTGTTGATCCTGAACGTCTTTGCCGTCTACGTCGGCATGGCACAGACATACCACACTTATCGTCTGGAAACAGCAGGACCCACGGGCTTCGAGATTGCCACCAGCTACTACTTGAATCGGAACATCGTTTCCTGGCGTCACATTGCCGTGAAGTGCTTGCTGAATGGTCTTGCACTGTACTTGTTCTCCACAGGAATCCGATGTGCAATGAGCTTCGACATTGATGATCCAAAGGACTTTCCCAAAATGTCGCACGTCAACTCTCGCATCCTCGCTTTTGTCATCCTGGCACTCTTCCTGCTCTCCGCCTGGGGCATGCACTTCGTCCACCAGACGCATGTGGCGGTCTTCAAGGTCAACTACGAGTGGGCCAAGACGACGGAGCGACCCTACGTCGGAAAGGTGAACGAGCTGATGTCCCCCTCCCGAAGAGGTCGAGCTCCCACCAGCCCGGACGTCTAGGAAGCAGTGAAGCCGGAGTGAAGCGCAGGAGGTGACTCGAGGACCTCCTAAGAGCTGATCATGTACCTAATCTTGGGAGATGCGCCCCAAGGTATGTATTTGAAGCTTTGATCAAGCCATTGGCAAAGCCAAGGTCTGGTCCAGCACAGTAGTAACAACACAATATGGTGTAGAATGTAGAAGTGGAGAGTGGAGAGTTAAGATTCGTAACTGCCTGAAACAGACATTTTGCAGACCTGGTGGCCTAAGCCTCTTTCTTCAGAACTGCAAGCCACGACCCGTAGCCCTCAGGTCTTTCGAGACATCAGCTGCCTGTGTTTGCGCTCGCTGCTGTTCTGTCAGTTTGACATGAGGTACGCGAGCTGCGAACATGTGACATGTGATAAAAAAGCAAGAAGCTGTCAAAGCCCTAAACCGCAAATCGAGAATGCGATCATCGTCATTCGTAGAACTCATCACATGCACGCGGGCTGCTTGATCCACCTGCTGAGCAGGTCTCCAGCACGAGCTCTGGATCACTCCTACACCCCTCAAGGGCTTTGTTTGGGCAGAGCAGCGCACAAAAGTCGCCTCTCCAGCTCAAGCAGACAACGATTGTGCTTTCCGCAAGAAAATTCCAGCCATCCCTACCTTTGTCGTATAGCAATCTTGCCATTAAAGGCTCTCAGGACTCATCATTTACGAAAATTGGCCGTAAGCAGTTTGACAATACATGCAATACTACCATGCCAATAGAAATAATGCTAAGAGGAGGAAAAATGACCAGAGCCTGGAAGCCCAAGACTTCGGAACCCTAAACCCTCAACCCTTAAGGGATCAAGACCTCGAATCGAAAGCCATGCCTCGCCTGGAGTGTCGGAGAGCGCCGAAACCCTGAAAGCCCGACTTTAATTGCTCCCGAGGTCGCTTTGATCGACTATGGCCTCGTCGAAGCTTGCGCAGCCGAGAGCTCTGAGGCGAAAGACGCTCGGAATCAGACAGCCCCTTTTGCTTCTTTGGTGCTCCTTTAAGGAGGGAAAGCTTAAGAAACCTGGTAACATCCTGCTTGCCCAGATGCATCTGGTGGCCATGCTGCTCCAGGTGATGCTGGTATATGCTGGTCATGATGATGATGATGATGATGATGGACATCGGGATGGTGATCGTCATGGTTGCGCCACGATAGCCAAGACCGAAATAGGTAATGATATCGTGATAACGATATGTTGATAATGGTCAAGACAAAAATAGGTAATGCTGCCAGGAGAATGATACTCAGCTTGATGCTAAGTATGCCACTGATAATGAGGATGATAGTCATAATTCTACTGATCACTGATACGGTAATGATAATGATGGCTTTCACAAATGCATAGTCACCTTCATGATTCTATTGTTAATTCTGATAATGATGACGTTCACGAATACACAATGACGTGATAATGAGGGCCTTTGACAACTTCCAGTATGTAATGCGCTTCATGGCGCCGGTCGGCGTCTGCTTGCCGTGGACTGAAGGCTGATGCTGGCGTCCCGCTAGGGCATGGATGCTCACACGCTCCAGGTTTTGGAGAGGTGGTGACTTCCTTTTCAGCCCAACTTTAAGAGATCCTGTGAGGGATCTAAAGGGGTATTGCAGGGTTTAGGGGTAGTCACGATGGTTGCATATCGTGGTCTGGCTAGACCTGAGTCCGGTAGCAAGGAAAGGTATGGAACTGCCGTCATGAGGGCTGAACCTCCGTGTGCTCAGACCTTCAGCCGATTGCACAAGTCCTGTGCCAAAAAGGGTTTAGGATTTATATAATATAAAATATGGTCTTGTGTATACGTTTAACTTTGAACCGGGGCGTTCCACAGCACGAATTGTGAGATCAAGTCATGGCTCCGTGTGGGACCTTGGGCCGAAAAGTTGCAGTATGCACAAGGATTCTGCATCCCCAGCTTTCTTCAAGTAGGAGCAGACTGGGCTCAAACAGATTCAAAGAGCGAAGTCTCCGACGTCTCTCGTCCGAGGACGCGGCCTTGCAGCTGTTTCGGTGGGTCGGCTGGGAGTTCCTGTGGATCTTGGCATCGGAAGCCTTTTGTTTAAACGGCCGTGACGAGCCTCGCCAGAATGCATCAGCAGCTCGGGTTGTAGGCTGTAAGAGTCGGGATACGTATGTCTTAAGCCCGGTAGACACCGGTAACCCGGTAGCTGTCGGGCAGGCCGGTTGATCGTCGTCTTCGCGGTCGTAGCAGTAACGGGAAGAGTAGCAGTGGCAGAGGCAGTGCCAGCAGCTGTACTAGCAGTCGTCGTTAACGTAGTGGTGGTGGTCGTTGCAGTGGTGATAGTGTTGAGCTGAAGCAAGTAGTCGTGGTCTGAGCATGAAATGAAGATATGATGAAATGAATGACTGCAACATGTACAACAAAACCTTAAGAAATAGCGCAGGCAGCAGTGGCAGCGGCAGCAGCAGCAGCAGCAGCAAAAACCAGAACAACAACAACACAGTGGCCATGGTGTTCAGTGGGTTTGAAGGATTTGCAGTGGATTCCCAAGATTTTCAAAGGATTTCCACAGACTTGCAGAGGATTTCCAAGGGTTGCACTGGCATTTTGAAGGGATTTTGAAGGATGGATTTCCAAGGATTTCAATCGGACTATCAGGGCGCCTACAGTCGATAGCCAGGGTTCACGGGCGTCTGCGCTTAAGAACTTGCGGTGTTCTGGTCCGCCTAAACCCCGCGCTTTCCAAAGCATTGGGATCTTTGAAGATCCCCTTCCAAATGCCACAGAAACATGTTAAAACCATCCTAAACACCATCAAAACCCTTCCAGTTCAAATCCTTCAAAATCCTACTAAAGCCATTCAATATCCGACTGAAGCCTTTCAACATCACATCAAATCCTTCCAAACCCTTTCTGAAGCGTTTGATATCCAATGAAAAACCATTGAATTCTCCAGACTAACCCTTTCAAAACCCCGTGAAGAACCTCATGACATCATTACCACTAAATCCCTTCCAAATCCCCCGAAAGCCCTTTTACATTTCGCAGATTCCCATGCCTGGGGTGGAAACGTGGTGAAATGTGGGCTGTTGTTGTAAAGAGGGGGGTCAAAGCAACTGACGGGGCTCCAGTTTTTTGTCTCTACCAGCAGGTAGAGACAAAGTCCTGATTTCAACTGGGCCTTTGTCTCTACCTGCTGCTAGAGACAAAAACTGGAGCCCCGTGCGTTGTTTTGACCCCCCCCTTTACAACAACCACCCAGCCTACACTACTAGTCTATCATGGTGGACATGCTGTGTGAAGCATGGCTTGCATTCCCAAAACTTTGCAGGCACCCCATGCGGTCCTCAGTAGCATTCCCAATTGCTTCTACGTGTAACATAATTTTACGGGCTGCTGTTTTTGTCTGTACCAACAACAACAACAACAAGAACTACTACTACTACTACTGCAGCAAGCGCTTTTCAGAATGCACGCTCATGAGGGTGTTCGCGAAAAGAGTGCTAGCTCTTCCGTCCGGCAAGTATTCCTAATTGTTCCTACGTTACTTCAGCATCTTGAAAAAAAAGATCTCTAGCAGTGTCATGCAATGTCTCTCCAGAGCCTTACATTGACCTTGTCGGCCCTGGAAACTCAAGCCATATGCCTGCAGAGATCAGGACCAGGGTCCCTGGGAGCAGCTTCCGGAAGGCTTCCGCCCCTTCTTCCGGCGTTCGGACTTTCGACCGCCAGCATACCAAACAGATCGGCTCAGCCCAGGCCCCTGCATGTGATTCTTGATTTTGTGTCCAGTGTACATATATCGCATAGACAGAAAACATATGTACGTAGGCATGCATGTACATGTGTTCGTCGGTCTATCTGACTGCCTGCCTGCCTGCCTGCCTGCTACAGTATGCCTCCGCGCATGCATGCGTGGATGGATGGATGGATATGTATGTATGTATGTATGTATGTATGTATGTATGTATGTGTGTGTGTATATATGTGCGTATGTACAGACAAGCAAACAGACAGACAGACAGACAGACAGACACAGACAGACAGACAGACATGCATGCACACTTAATATCAAGCTCTGTTCTCGCTCAGACGTACATATGCAGGAACAACCGCAATCAAAGCACACAGCAGCAACTCCAGTCATTGCAACCCTCAGGCCTGTAGGCAGCCACGACACTGACAGTTTTCTCTATACATAGTCTTGCAGGTTCAGAAGTTCAGTCACGCGTTGCTGAAGGCATAAGAATGAGGGTACCGGCTTTCGTGGTTTCTGGTATTCAGCTGGCTGCTATATCAACCCTGAACCCTAAACCATGTATTCACGCGGCATTTTGCTGATGACTGACATGTTGCATGTTGGCGCTGGTACAGTCTTGCCAATCAGTCAGTGCGCGAACCTTCGCTAGTGATGTTCGTAGCATGTCTCCATTGCTTTGGTTTCCATAGCTTTACATGGTTGGAACTGGTGCGGAGTAGTTTGGTGACTGAAGTAATGGAGCTTGTGATGCGGTAGAGGTCATGCGTCTGTGTTGCTTCACTGGGCTCTCATTTAGGGCTAGGTACCTTCACGACTGAAATCCTACAGACCTACCTCGCTTGTGGGCATTGATCCTTAGCCATGCGAGAGGGAAAAAAAGCCATGTATTCCTCGCCGGAAGTGCAATGGCACTGCGAGAAGAAGCGCACAAGAAGCAAACAGAGCAAAACACAAGCCCACAGCCTGCTGCAAAGCTGCAGATGTAGGACGCGCTACACCAAGTTGTAAGTCTGATTGGGTTGGTGCGTTGAGGTTGAAACGTTTGGGAGCAGATCCTGTTCAGGTATCCTCCAGGCTGCCCTGCAAGAGGACTTCTTTTCACAAGTGCTCTCGCCGCCCTTCCGAAAATTGCTCCTTGACTTGCTGGTCGAGGGTATTTTGTTTGACGGTTATAGGGTTCCTGCATGGGAACCCCATCTGTTGAGCCCAATATCACCGAAGACTTCGAACTTCAAGCTGTCTTGCATTTGCTCCCCCAGCCCTTATTACGCCCCAATCTCGGCTAACGGCCAACGAAACTTGCGATATGGAAGCCCTGTACGCGGGTATCAGATCCTGCCGATCGTATTGTGACCTTAGAACTCGGTAAGCCGCCGCTGCTACGTCAAGCTTGAGCACACCTTGCGAAAACACCAACACCAACCAGCGTAAACTCCTGATAGAGGTTTGCCACTCTCCTGAAGCAAAATGCCCTTGTTATGGTACTCTCTAATGCATTCTTCAGGCTTTTTGTGTGACTGAGGTGGGTGAATCTCAAGCGGGCCAAGCAGGAGCTGGGTAGGATCCTGGGTGCCCGGGCCTGCAGGGAGGCTTTTTAGGGGGAAGTGAAGCCACCGTGGCCTTCGGGGGTTCACAGAAGCGGATAGAGGTCGAGTCCGCAGCTTCAGAGTTGTGGGATGCGACATGTTGATCTCGAGAGTGGGTCAGGGTCAGGAGCCCGAAGAAACCGAAACCCCAAGAAGTAAAAGGTTGCGATCGGAATGCAAGTGCACCTGCCAAGATGGCCAGGGCGACGAGGACGACGACGACTACTATACCACTACTGCTAGTACCGCGACCACTTGCAAATTGCATTGCCCTTTCCACTATCGTTGCCGCCGGTACTACGGCATGAATTGTTTCGGTTCAATTCGGCTGCTATTGCAGTTTATCGTAGTTATCTGTTGGCAAAGTGAGTTACCGCTGCGCCCACTGCAAAGCTCCAGGGTGCATCATCGTCGGGAAATAAGTTGCTATGAACTGGTGCTTCAGCAATGACCCGAAGATGACCTGCACAGCGCCCCGGAGCTGATTGGGCGTACCTGAATCCCACAGCCGTCTACCTGACTTAGGGGAGCTCTTCTATGGCGTGGCATTGGCAAGTGACCGGCTGGACTTTGAGCCGGACTTTGATGCCTACCGTGGGCAGATACAGTCTCTACGGAGCCCCTTGGTTTGCGTCGGGAGGTGAGCTTCAGACTTAGAAGGTGGGAGTTTACCTGCATCTTTTAAACCCCTTGTGAAGCAGAAAGTGTACATCGATCTTGGCCCATGAATTCGGGTGATGAAGACAGCCGCCCACCAGCAGGCCTTGTGGTCTCGGGGAACGCGGCAGCCACATGAGCACTGCGGTCCAATTCTTTGAATGCTGCTCATCGAAGCACGGCTCGGTTGATTTGAGCCTTCTCCCGGCTTCCTGGCAAGTCAACCTTTCCAAAATATCGTCGATTCTAAGTTGGTTTCGTGGTCGTTCGAGTGGCAGAACACACCAAGATAAACATTGAAGATCACTTATCACTACGACTGCGGTAATAACTCCTTGAAAAAAACCGTGTTTGGCTGAGCAGTTTAATGCCATGCTTACCCAGGCCATGTAGTTCTAGCTAGCTGAGCCGGCAAAGATTGCGGGTCAGCTGAACACGCAAAGACGTGAAGGTTCCTGTTCTTAGAAGCCAGGGCACCACCGTCCCCTCCGCAGTTCGGGATGGCCAACAGCGTTGCTTTGATATAGCAACTGACATGGCTTTGGCTTTCGGGGACATTGGTGCCGATCGGATAAGAGCATTAACGATAAAGATGCGTGGTCTTTAAAACCATGCTTCTAACATTCCCAAACCAGGGCCTTGGCTTTTCCATGCCGTGCCCTGTGCCGTTTGGCAGATTGCGTGTCGCAAAAGCTATGACAGCCTTGCAAGTTTAGAAGTTAGTCCCCATGGCGGAGTTTAGATGCGGCGGCTGAGATACTGCTACTTCCATTCCAGGGTATTTCTAACTCTAAACCACTGAACCCCAAACCCTGAACTCTTAACCCTAAGGCCCTAAGGCGCCGCGTGTGGGGATCCATCAAGCACATTGAGCCTGGGACGTTGGCTCCGTGAAGTTCAGGGAGGGTACTATCTAGGGGTCGGAATACTTACTAATCAGAAGCCCTTATAGTCCCTACCATAATTTGTTTAATGTAGCCCAAAGAAGTACTGTGCCAATAGGATTCCCGTGTCGTCCTTATTATAACTTATATGCTCTAGGACAAAGCCAAACCTTCCTTCAATCATTGAGGCCACCATAGTATCACTATAGTATCCTAAACTCCTGAACCCTAATCGTCCCTAAACCCTAAACCCCAATAGGCCCGGCTTAAACAGTTGGAGCAGCATGAAACAATGGCACTTTGCAAGGACGAGAACCCGAAATCAGAGCAATCGCTTTCTGAAGACACTGGCGACTGCCTTTAATTTGACAGCTGGGGGCCGCCTTCTGCAAGCTTCGTGAACTGTGGCCTTCCTTTTCAGGGGAGATTTCTCTTGTCGAGGCCTCGGGGGTTTATACAAGCGGGATTCCGAGTGTTGGGTGGGGTCTCGTCGAGTTGAGCTTGGCGATCAAAGGACCTGAAGAAGGAGAGGCGCCAGTCTAAGCGATGATTATCATTCTACTGGTAGTAGCAACACAAGCTATAGCCATCGTGACAAGGCGCGTGCAAAGCTTGAGCTTTCCGGTGCTGACAGGCCCCAGCTGGGAGGAGAGCACAAATGCATCCAGCTTCCGGGACGTTCAGGACATCCCAATTCTTGCCTTTGACCGACAATTCGCCTGCTCTGACACGAAAATCTGGGAGGTCTCTTCTTAGGCTTAGATTTCCGGTCGTGTGCGTGTCTCGATTTTGCCAAGGAGTTGCAGGTTGAGGAGGACTCGGGGGCCGAGGAAGTCGCAGTCCAGGCATGCAGGGGGCCCCCAAGTTCAAGGTTATCTTAGTCTGTGCTCCTTCTTCGTTGTTTGTTTGGTCTTCGGTTGCTTGTAAGGACTCTTGTAGGGTCTGGATCCCTGGGCCCTTCTTACACAATGTGTCTCACACGCGTTGTATGTGGAGGGACTGTAGTTCTGCCGCTTGGGCCCGGAGCTGTTAGAGACGAGGTGCTCTCAGGTCATCGCTGCCGGCATGCCATGTACTTGGTGCAAAGATTCACCACCACGAAGCAAGACGCTGTTTTCGGTTACCGCTGCAATAGATCTGCAGCCGCAAGTAGACTAAGACTTTAGTGACCACCGGCGGGTACTGCTACTGCGGTGACGCCGACAACAACGAATTCTGCTTCTGTTGTCTCTCATATTCCTACTCTCGACGGGGCTAAGGAAGAAACATATGGGAAGATACATTGACATGTGTGAGAAACCGCTCATACTTCGTTCACGAGACATGCATGAGAAATGTGGGCAGTTGCAGCCGACGTGATCAAGGGGAATACAAGGATGAGTCAACTGAGCTGGAACAGCGGTAGAGCGACTCGTGAGTGTGACAAAATGCAGCCTGGGAGGCAGAGTGCTCGGCTGCCGAGGCAGAGGAGTCACAGCCCAGCCGTAGACCCAGCTCGAAGTTTCGGGTTCGCACAGCTTGTCCCGGATGTGAGGAAGAAGCTTGCCTTGAGCCTCAAGCTGGCTTCCTCAAGGCTCCATCCCTTCAGTCTATGACCAGACCCTAGATGCTCACATCGAACTGCGCACCGAACCACCTCGCCTGCAGAGTCCGAGTTGCGAGAGTCCAGCAGCTCAGACCTCCCCAGAGGAGCCACATGGAACGAATTCTGAAAGCCCAGACGGCGTAGAACGGGTGGTGTTCCACTAAGAGGCTTCCACAGTAGCACATGTAGCACCCGTCATGCCATCCAGGTCATAATCTCACAGTGCGAGTTGTCATCCACCCGCAAGCATATGGCGTGGTCGCCAGAAACAGAACCCAAGCTCCAAGATGCCCCTGCAGTGCGAATCGCTGCCTCACAAACCCTAAGCCTTGAACCGGAAACTCCCAAAGCTCTTAAAGGCCCCTAAACCCTGCGCCTTGAGAGAGTCGGAACACCATGGAACCCCCAAAACTTTGAGGCAAGTTCGACTTGCTGGATGCAGAGCTTTCGGCAGAGGAGGCCTTCAGTTCACTGCCTCGGCAGCCCCAATCCCGGCTTTGGCCTCAGCCCCGGGTTTAGGGTAGGGTTTTTTAGGCTGATAGGTTTTTTTTTGTGTGTGTGTGTGTGTGTGTTTGTGTGTGTGTGTGTGTCTGTCTCTGTCTCTCTGTGTGTGTGGGTGCGGGTGAGTGGGTGGATAGTGGATGTCTCTCTTTCCCTCTCCCTCTCCCTCTCCCTCTCCCTCTCTCTCTCTCTCTCTCTCTCTCTCTCTCTGTGTCTCTGTCTGTCTCTCTTTGTCACTCTGTCTCGACACACACATGTCATTATGCATGCATGTATATACGTAGAGTTGCACACTCAGCTTATTCATATGATTTGCATCTCTCTTTTTAGTTTGTTACATTTGTATGTGCGCATATGCCAAAAGGCGCGGTCTTTACGTGCATCTGCGTCGTGTTTCTGAATGTCTATCGAGTCTATCGATTTGTAGGTATATCTAGTTGTATGGATTTGCCACTTGACTTAACTGAATTGCACGATGATGCTTAGATTGCATTTCTTGACTGGAACGATGTGCATGCATTTGATACGCATTTTAAGGCTGGGGGGTCGCTTGAAGCTGCGGTTGAAGGTTTGGTCGTGCCGAGTGTTGAGGTTCGGTTACGCGGCCTAGCGCTTCTGGATGCTTCCGACTTGGATGGAGGTGTTAGGGCTTTGGGTTTGGGGTCTTATCTTAGACTCCCTAATGAACTCCATGTTCTTGACTACATTCACACCGGCCGCGCGGCACAAAAACCCCAAGCACCGCTATTCTCCTACCCGGGTAGCTTCTAAGTCATTCTAACTCGAGGCCTTTCCAAAAAAGGCAGAATAAAAAGTATTTGCCATAGAAGCTCCTGCGCTCTGCTACCCAAGCCCGGTCTCTGTGACTCTGGGTGCAACGAGCTTAGAGTGTGCGGCGCTGCGATATTCGTTCCGTTGTATGGTCAACTTGAGTGGCATGCGAAAATGATCGGACCTAAGGCATGGCAGTCGCATGATGTGCAATGTGCAATGTGTGAGGGCGCCTATATTGGCCTATATAACATGTGGTAAACGGTTATGTGCTGCTAAATGCGATTGGTTGTGCAAGCAAGATATGACAGACCGTTTGACAATTGACGCATGCGCTTCAATATGGAGTTTCATAGCACGGCTCTGAATAACCCCTCTGATGCAACACACTGTTCTTAATATTCCTATCATGACAAGTAGTGCTAGCAATTATTACTATTTGTTCAACTTGTATTGTTGTAGTAGCAGACTCGCGCGCCATTGATAAGTGTACCAACAAAAGGTGCCATCAGAGCAACAGAACCATGACAAGCACGCAGAACGATCTTATCACACCATTGACAAGCAAAGACGAACAAATCAGCAGTAGCTTGGGCTCTCCTGGAATCTGCTTGAAGCAAAAGTTAATCCATCATACAGATCCAAGCCGTTACTGTAGCAGCAATTGTGTTTTATGCTGGGTCCAAAAGGCTCACAGTAGCCAGGGTCAATTCAAGTTGCTTGGGCATGGAGCTTTCCAGGCCTGGTTTACCTAAGTCTCCAGAGCAGCCAGGTCTGCGCGGAGCCCGGAAGTTTGGAATTGTTTATATCAGTGTATAAACAGATAAATACATAATATGTGTGTATATATATATACATACATACATACACATACCGGTTCTATACACTTTAAAAAGCCGATGTTTAAGCTAACGGAACTGGGGTTTGCTGAGGGCTTGAGACTTTGACGTTTTTTTATAACCAGCCGGTATCCATCTATCTATCTGTCTATCCATCTCTCTATCTCTCTCTCTGTGCCCTAAACCCTATTATTTACCTATCTATCGATCTATCTGAGCTCTGGACGCGTGTCCAAAGCGGCTCTCCGAGAGAGGGAGAGGGTGTGAGTTTAGGGAGAGGGAGTGAAAGGGAAAGAGCGGGAGAGCGCGCAGGGCTGTTCAGGCGTCTGCAGCGTTGCACTGGCTCATGCTGTGTCAAACATGCGCATGCTCAGGCCATAGGTAGAGAGGTCGGCGGATGCACAGTTGCACAACAGGAGTGGGTCAGGGTAGGCTGTGGACAAGCAGTTAGTGAGGCAAGTTCGCCGTTGCTGCTTCTCGGCTCGATGGTTTCTGCCGCCACTGTTTAGCGCCGTCCCTCTGAGCCCCACAGACAGCAAAATTTCAAGACAGGTTGGCCATGACCATTAAGCCCGTAAGGCTGCAAACCTTGCCGAAGCTGAATTAGAAATGCCAGCAGCTAGCGTATCTAGATGCGCAGGGTTCTTCGCCATGCTTCCGAGCTACCTTTTCATCACCGCCTAAATCAGCAGATTGGGGCAGCTGATGCCTGTCTGTCTAGGGTTTAGGGTGAAACTGCTTCTGTGGAAATTGGTCTCGCGGGCCGACTACAACCCTACAACTTCGCTCACCCCGGCACATCCCTATGGAATCCAGGCACTGGTCTATCCTTCTGTGACAACATAATGAACCCCAGAGCCAGCATGATTCACAATGGTCTAGTGATGAAGGCCTCAAGCAAGTAGGCTCGAACCCTGGCTCAGCCAAGGAGAATGTCAGCAAGGTCCTTGCCGTTTGCATGGACAACTTGGAGGAGACTTCGTCCATATTGCATTCAGTCTACGTATGACTGCTTTTGATGCCCGTGGCGATTCCCTCTACTTCTTGCAGGTACAATGACAGTATACTCTACTATCTATGTATATCTCTATATATATATACACATCTATCTATATAATAGATATGTATAGATATGTATAGATAATACCTACAATAACCATTTTACTAAGCTGCGGGTTTTGCGCGTCATGCAGCGTACGCGACGCGAATTCGAAAACTCGAAAATGCGAAAATTCGAAAATTTGGGCATTTTTCGATAAGTAGAAAACTCGAAAATTCGAATTTTCGCTTTTTTCGGTTTACATCAATTTTTTTTCCGAATTTTCGACTTTTCTGGTTTTTCGCTTTCCAGTCACCGTTGCGCACGCGACACACGGCAATTCGAAAATTCGAAAACTCGAAAATTCAAAAATTCGAAAATTCGAATTTTCGCATGTTTCGGTTTACACCAGATTTTTTGAATTTTCGACTTTTCGGGTTTTTCGCCTTCCAGACACCGTTGCGCGCGCGACACACGACAATTCGAAAATCCGAAAATTTGAACATTCGAATTTTCGCGTTTTTCCGTTTCCACCAGATTTTTCGACTTTTCGGGTTTTTCGCTTTCCAGTCACCGTTGCGCGCCCGACACACAAAACCACAGCACAGTTTACATTGCTGTTGCCAGCATTGGTGCTGTGATGACACCTGGGCTCGAGTCCCTGCTGCTGTTCTTACTCTGAACCGATCATGGTAGCGATGGGTTTGCCAGTTGTTCGTATTGTTGCTGTGGGGGGGACAAGGATCGTAGTGACACTGGTGATTTGATTGAGACTTCCATCATGGGTCAGATTATGAAGGCGTGCAAAAGGATGGTAGTAGCGTTCTGAAGCGTGACTGCTGTTGTCATGTTGCTGCGTGTGACGACGGTTGGCGTTATCGCTACGCACGCGCTCTGGTTTTTTGCCAAATCCACCGCTCGGCTTGCAGGAGCTGGATTCGGTGAACTTGGCTACGGCTCTCCACCGTCTGGCTAAATGGAGCAAAGGTGCCCGGACATGTTCGCAATGTTTCAAACTTGCTTTTACTCTTTTTTGCTGTGCATGGTCATGATCGGTGTCTAAGCCTAAGCATTTCTCACGACTTCAATCAATGACTGTTACTGCTTGCTGGTCTTCGAATGCCGAGCCAGGGATGGGTTGTGAGCTGCCAACCCGTGACACTCTAGCTGGATGCTTATGCAGAACGACTCGCCGAACCTTAAACAATTTCGTGGAGACAACACTTGTTGTTAGCAGCTTGGTCTTGTTCAGGGGTATTCGCATTTGGCTTGTTGTGTCCCGTGAGTCCTCGGAGAGGTGGACGAGGCGACATTCTTGAGTCAACGACGTGTGGCTGAGCGGGAGGTTTGGAGGACGGTCTTCGGCATCAGCACTGGAGTGCCAGATTGCTCGGTTATCCTTACGGCAATCGGTGATAATTCAATACTACGTACGTACGTACGTACTCGCCATATTCATGTATGTATGTATGTATGTATGTATGTATGTATGTATATATATGTATGTATATGTATATATGTATATATACATACATATGTATGCATTCTTGTATTTTATAACCTTCTTGGAATTATATATACTCGTTTGCTGACCCGTACCCTCTCCATTGCCACCTCTGCAGGAGCCGGCAGAGCTCTTGGCCACGCGCCTCCTTTTCCTGCCGAGTGCCGGGCCAAAGCCCCAGGCTTCGGCTACTGCGGCCTGGGCCTCGGGCATCCTCCGCGCGCAGGCTCCGGCCCTGATGCAGCAGAGCCCTGGAGCGAAAAAAGGCTATAGGATTACTATGAGATACATTGAGATACCTTGGCTTACTCGAATATACTATCGTTACTGTAGCATGCACTGGTCATGGCATTAGGTTCCGCTGCGCTGCGACGCTGTGAGTCAGCTGAGGACATGCCAGCAGGGCACGGGTCATTTCGATAGCCCCTCAGTGGCAGAGCGAGATGGCTGAAGTTCTGTCCAGTCGGTGGTAGCAGTTCGTTAAGACCTGTGCTTAGACTAGGATTCCCGACGCCCAAACGTGGGAAAGGAGCTACAATTCTCAGTCTTCGCTCCCAGAAAACACGGAGAGCCTGTAAAGAAGTCTTAGGAGAATCGCTTGGTGAGCAAGATCCTGAAGCCCTCAACTCAACCCTAATGCCTCGCCTAGAGTGTCGGAGTGGGAGCGCCGAAACCCATGATCACTGCTGTTTTCTAGTTTCCTCCACTGTCGTGGGAGTTTCACCTTCTCCGACGTTGCTGGAACTCGTCCCCGCAGTGTGCGAGCGCGCGAGTCGAAACCCTAAACCCTTGGACAAACCACGCCTGCATTGCCGAGTTTTGGAGAGTCTGAACCCATGGTCAGGTCTGCAGCGCAAGCCCCGGGATCCGACGACCTTGGCATGGGACTCCGGAAGCACGCTGGCACAGGGTGCCGCATTCCAGACCTTGCCTCCTGGCACGACGTGTCGAGCAGCGACTTTATCCATCATGATCATTACTTTGACAGAAATTATTACGATTATGATGATTACGACATTACGACTATTGCTGTCAGCTTCGGATTCTTGACTTTGGGCCAGGGTCATCCTTCGACGTATTTCATGCGAGGCATCCTGAGGGGTACATCCTGAGCATCATCATGACACGATTGGGCCGTGTACTATACGGCCCCGAAACATACACATGGTTCCTGACAGCAAGAAGGAGTGACCATCACTAGAAGAAGAAGGAAAATGACCGGAGGCTTCCACAAAAAGCTGCTCAGGAAAAGTCTTGTTGTTCTAACCGCTTCTTTCACCAGCTCTAACTATGGAAGCATCGTCGTCAACATCAGCACTGCAAGCAGGACGCTGGGCGCTGTCATGACTCTCAAAACACTTCAGGCCCTTGCCCTCAAGCTATCCTCTCAGTTGTACTACCACTGCTCGCTACACTTCAGTCCCATGGTGGGAAGTTGCATTGGGCCGGCATGATTATCGAAACCCTTGATCCCCATATGTTTTGTATTGTTTGAAAGTATTACTAAATCAAAGAATCACATTAAAAGGTATACTCATATTTCTACGACGAATACGCATACTAGTAGTAAGTAATGCTAATACGAATGCGAATATGAATATGCATACGAATATTTGCACTAGTATGAATACGAATACTAAAAACATATGCACCATGACAACAACAACAGTGTTTATACGAATACCCAGATCTAGAGTAAGATGGAGATATGTGAAAAACCAACTCAGGCTCTTTGGGATGTCGCATCGCTCGCCTCAGCCCTTCGATGCTTTTGGAGCCATTGACCTGGCTAGCTTTGCCGCTGGAATGAAAGTCTAGGGGTTAGGGGTTTGGGGGTTTCTAGGCCTTACTGTTCCAGCGTGGTCCTACTCGTCATCGCCTCGTTCACACACACACACATATATCATCGCTAGTTGAAATCGTGGGTGGAGCAGAGACCAGAGCTTTGAACGCTTTTTGCAATGGGGCTAAGACTGCGAGCTTTTGCGGCCTTGTTGTGGAACTCCGTGTCACCTTGCCCCTTCCAAAAGAGTAATATAGGAGCCTAAATAATTGCTAATGCTGCTAATGATTTTTTTGGGGGGCGCAGATCTCGCCACTGCAGCGTGGTAGTGGAACACTGGGGCCCCAGATCGGGAAAGGCCGATCGTCGGAGCCATAGGAAAAGGTTCACCCTCCACGCGCCCGTGCCCGGCGCTCATCTGCAAGGCGTGTCCTTGCCTAAGCGGATCTTTGTCTATTGAGCTCGGCGAGCGCAGCTGACTGGGATAGGCTGTACCGCATGGGAAAAGGAGATGGAAAAGACAGCAACCAAGGCAGCCACAACAACCACCATGGCGAGGCGGCTCTGGATCACAGCAATGGCTTATATATGGCCGGGGGCATGGAACTCTCCCCGCCAGGCTTGGCGACTGGAGAGTATACTGAACCGGAGCGACGCCAATTCCCGGCTTACGATGTTGCCTGGAAGCAAGCTCCTGGGATAGCTGCGGTGCGTGCAGAAGCAGCTCCCACGGAAGCCGGTGGTGGGCTTGTCAGCACCATGCAACATGTGGACCAGGCTCGGAGAGTGGAGCAGAAGCTTACGAAACTCCGAGCAGAGCAGCTCCCACTTGAACCATTTTCGTCTGTCCTGATGCCTCACATCCTCTATCTCAGCAACCGCGTCCGGAACAGTAGTGGGTGCTGGCAGATAGACTATGAAGACGTCCGGTGCAAAATCCAGTGTCATAACAACAAACATTCTTTGACACAGGCAGGCTCAGCCTCGGCCTCTGCAAGGTCCGGGTCTCCTCTCATGAGCTCCGGGGGTGCGCCATGGTGCGCCATCAGCTAAATTGCCCTCCCCAAACAGGGGCGAACAGTGTCCGAAGGTGTGTAAGCCGCACCGCGTCACCGACTCGGACCGTAAGGTCTGGCGGATTTGTCAGCTTTACCTTCCAAGTGTCTTCCATATCGCACAGAGATGAGAGGCACTCAGACAAGAAGGAAGGTGATCTCTCGGCGGAGCGTGCCGGACCACACACCACTTATCACCAGCTAGAGCAAGCTTGGTGTCTGGGGCCATGGGGGCAGAGCAAAGTCCCCTGGCCATTGAAAACCTGAACCTACAGTGTCGGGCGACCGACTCCGATGGCCACGGCCACTGTCCGAAGATCCCTTTCTGGACCCCATTATCGGGCAATCCTGGGGCACGCCGCCGCGACGCCAGCGGGATTGCTCTGAACACAAGTGTTGTCACGCAAGGAACCAGCACGTCGTCCGCACCCCTCCAAGAACCAAAAGTCTAGCGTCCAAACGAAGATGGGTATCGAACAACGCCGGCCGAGCAGCCGAGTCGGAATGTGCAGCACCCTGGAATGCGATAAAAACACTTGCGTCTTAATGCCCAACAGTCTGAAGCGCAAAAAAGTGAAGCTGTCACATCGGCCCTCGACTAATTAAGGCATCATGACCGCTTCTAGGAGGCAGGTGAACGGCCGCTATTATGCCACTGAAATGGTTACCGCGCAGTCCAAGTCCTGAAGGCCGGTGGCCTCGCAAACTGTGAGATCCGCCTCATAGTATATTATAGTATATGATAGTTTGTTATAGTATATTATAGTATATTATAGTATCGGCGTCCAGTTCCAGCGCGACGGCCTGTAACGGGGTGCGACCGTGGTGACAAGACTAGCAGGCCGCGATGAAGCCCACAGTTTCACCCGCAAGCCGAATTCAGGATTTGTGGACGTGCCCCCAGAGGCTCCAGAGTCCATCAGAAGAAGAATAAACATTTTTGGGTTCGTTGTTGTAAGAGTAGCATAATGCACCCCAAGAGGCCCGTTTTGCAAGGCCTGGGCGTCAGCCACCCTGGAATGGGAGGGCGCAAGGCTGCCAACCACGTCTGCTGCGGAGGTCCATCGGAAGCTCGTGATGTACTTTGTATTGTTTTGCTTTTGGCGTAGGTTTTTATCATTCGTCTTGTCTGATGTTATTTTCTCAGTATCTAACCTAGCCTTATCGTTATTTTGTTTGGTATTTTGGGTATCGAGACGTTCGCCCTCCCAGTGCATGTCGCTTCGCATGCTGTATGGAGCCAAGGAAGATGGAAGGTTCTCGGTCTCCGGCACAGGCCACATCGAATGTTGCCTGGGCCTCGACAGTATTTCATCTCCTTGGTCTGCCTCCTATGGCCACGACAAGCCGCTAGGGGGCGGCGCAGCTGCCACAGCTCCGCGCCCAAGATCTGGCAAACAGGAGGCTGGGAGTTTCCAATGTCCAGCTTGATCCTTGTAAACAGCCGACTCTTGGAGTTTACAAATCATTTTTATTCCGCAGCTATAGTATTGCATCGTTTACAGCCCTACAGATCAAAGAGACTGGCCCTTTTAGGTGGGGACTCGCGACCTCGGCTCTGCGGGACGTGCCTCTGCCAACCGCAGCCTCCTCTGTTGGCCTGTTGAAGATCCAAGACTTTACTCCTCAGGGAGCCTCCAACACTGTGCAGTCGCCGACCACGGCCATGGCCCTTGACAAGCGGGCCCTGCAACTGGACCTTGAGAGGATCGTTTTCTGTTTCTTTCTAGTAATGCAAATACCCTGCGACGGTGCGTCAAGAGCTGCGCAAAGGAATGCCATGGCAGTCAGAGGGCTGGGGCACCTGGATGAACGGAAAGCACAAGAACTGTCGAACACCGCCTGGGCACTTACGACGGCCCATTCCGAGCAGGCAAGAGATTCTGATGGGCCGTGTCATCCGTCCATTCTCGTCTGGGCTCTACCCAAACCATCCCAAACCGAAAGGCTTTCATGGCAGAAAATTCACCTTTCTCAGACACTTTGTGGCCTTGAGATGAGGTTCATCGGGTTTCATCTCGTCCTCCCCAGAGGTACTACCGCTTTAGTACTGTGAGTTCACTGGTTTTTGGGAAAGCCGCAGTTGAGGAGCCGCCAACTAATGCCGCCTCAAGCATGGCTCTGGATCGGCTGGGAGAGTTTTCACCGCGGCACAGTGCCAACCTCGCTTGGTGCCCAGGAGCTGGATTCTCCTTGAGGGCGGGGGGTCGAATCCTCCATTGCCCTTGAGATCGGCTTTTTCAGAGTAGAGTGGTATATAATATATAATATATAATATATAATATATAATATATAATAGGGATGGAGGGTGATGCGCAGGAACGCTGGAGAGCCAGCAGCGGCCTCTCCTGACAATGGTTGGTGCAGCGGCGCTGCTGGGACTCCCTCGGCCAAGCCCACTCTCCCTGGCAAGCACAGCCTGGGCTCGTTTCATGACAGCTCTCAGAACCTGCTTTGACTTTGAGTTGTCCGATGTACATCAAATCTAACCCTGTTTTACCGCAGCACAAACTTGAGGTGTCACTTCGCGGGCCATTGGCTTGTCGTCGCTTCACGCCACGGCCAGCCATTTGTTCAGAAGCAAAGTGGACGAGGGAGTTGCTACTATGGCCCACGGGACAGCTTGAGCAAGTTGTTGTTTCGGCAACCGATCGCAAGCCGCCTCAAGAAGCAATCGTTGAAAGCCCTGCGTTTTGCTTTCAGTTCCATCTTGCCGCAGAGGCCATTTGGACATTGTCCCAGCTCGATGATGTCACTGCTGCTTTCCAACTTGTGGATTCTGCAGCTTGGAAGATTCCCCCATTGAGCTTATCGCCTCTCCTTTCGCGCTGTGAGCAAGAGGGCCCGAGCTCGAAAGAGCTTCGTGTCCTCAGCTTCCTGGTACATGATGAGTTCAAGCCTCTCACGGAGGAGGTTGTTGCCTCACGTTTGCGAGTGGCAAGGGAGGCCCAGCCGGAGGTGGAATGAAAATCAAATCTGCCTGTTCTTGCTGGGCTCTGCAGTTTGCCAACGATTGGCTTTAGATTCGTCAGCCGGGATAGAGTGATTAGAGCAAATGATCGGTTGGCCGAGGCGCCCCGATGCTGATCCTTGGCGGGAACTAGTGGCATGATGCGATCTCAGAGTTCGAAGTCATGAGGGATTTTGACAAATAGAGTATCTTGCATCTCTCTGTTTTGTTCGTTGATGTCCATGAAATTATAACTATATGGGCTCTTGCCTCGGGACTTCTGTCAGACGGGCTGGAGCTATGGTTGGATATTTGTTGTCGTTCTGAGACTTGGCCTGCCCTGACAGCCGCACCTGCTCGACGAATCGATTGAGTAGGGGTTAACGAGTCGTTGGAATCAGCATTGCTGCAGACCCTGCCAGGCTTGTCCGAGTGTGAGAGTCAAAAATCACTACATGGGGAGCCTAATTATAAGGGAATAAGATTACTTGTTATAGTGAAAGAATATTTGCATAGGGGCTACAAAGGAATGACATTACTAATTATCTGCCCCAGGGTTTGAACCCCAAATCCCTGAGCCCTAACCCCTCAACTCAACTTAACCCTGTTTCTTCAGCTCCGGTGCACAGGTACAGCTTGGCATCTCCCAGCAGGTCCTGGATCCCTTTGCGCGTCGCCGTGCGAAGTCACAAAAGTTCCTGCCAGGGCAGGGACGGGGCTAACGGGAGCCGCGATGTAGAAGCCTGAGCAACTACTAATATATTCTTCGGCAGAGTTCCTGATTATAAGTATCCCAAATCACGGTAAACTGTGAGATGCCATCCGTAGCTGTACTCGCCTCCGACTTCTGTCAGCACACCCCCAAAACCCCTCTGATTGTGACTGTCAAGCTTCACAGCTCGTCTTTTTTCTTTTGTTGTGCCTTGCACCCAGAGCCTGCCTGGGTCCTCTTCGGCTCGCAGCATTAGGCAAAGTTGGCAGAATGGCGTTCAACTGAAAGTCTGGGGAGTGGGTGCATGTAGGACCAACATCTGCACAGGCAGCCCTTCCAGCGACCGGGCGACCCGGAATTTCTTGAGTGCAGGGCAAGGAAGCTGCTCTAAGTTGTACAGCCTCGAGCCTCTAGGAATCTGATTTGGAATCTCCAGAACTCTAGGACCTTAACATCTCATACTCGCCATGCCGTTCTGCGGACTTTCCCACGGGGCCAGGTGAAGAAGGACTGCCCTGGTGCAGGTGTAGCAGCATCATCTTCCTAGGGACCAAACCTAAGCGAAACCTTGTGGAGCTTTCAAACACTGACCTTGTCGGTGGCCGTTGTGCGGTTTGCTGTGACCTCTCTACATAGTCTTCAGATTTGTTTGCAGGACCATGTCGTCAAACGGTCCGGAGATCCTGTGGGAGGCAGGAGGGGGTAGAGAGAGAGATTGTGCAAAATATCTCCGAGTTGAAAGAACAGTAGGGGCTGCTGGTGCACGGCTAACTGAGAGCAGCTGCTTATTGCACAGTACGTGCGGTTATGCACGATTACCGATTGTAGGCCATAGCATGTTCAACCTTATTGCAGGATGCATGCCCCATTGATTTGCCGGACGAGATGCCAGCACTAGAAGCCAAGAAAACTCGCTTCCAGAGGTCTCGCGGCCCAGCTGTCCCATCCGAGCTGAGCCTCACTTCAATGCTGAGGCCCAGCGTGTGCCGAGTTGATGAGTTAGTTTTTATTTACCAGATGCAGATCCTGTCGACAGGTCCTGCGATGGAAAAGACAAGGCCCGCTGACGTGAATGGGAACCTTCGCTGACCGCGGAGGCTTAACTGTTTGCTCTTGAATACTAGACAGGTGACCGCGTGAGCTGCATCGAGATGACCATGGACGGCTGGCTGAAGATCGCCGATGACCGTGGATGGACTCGGGGCTCAAACCGCAGAGCGATGCCTCATTCCAGGGTGGGCTCGAGTCACTTCCGTCATGCTGCAGATGGAACTGTAAGCTGCGAGGATGATCTCGGACATGCAGGGCCTGCACGGCATCGGGGAGGTTCTGAGTCCAAAGCGCGGCGAGGCTGGCACAGCTTTGCGATGTCAATCCTTGCCTGTATTAAGTTAGCAACACCACTGTATTGCCAGTAAAGCCGCACAGCCTTGCAGCACCTCCGGGAATCGGTCGCTGCACGTGAGAAGATCGGTTCTTGCTCTCTGGCAAGGATGTGAAGCTTGCGGTTGAGGAGCCTCACCCTCAAGGCCGGGAGTGTGAGCAAGTCTAGGCCGGCCTGAAACTCGATCCAGCTGCCACGAGGTGTCTGCTGCCTGGAAATTGTTTACGCACAGGCCGAGCCGGAAGGGAAAAGGGCCGAAACGGGGGCAACCCGGTCTCTTGACATGTCAGTGCTGATGATCGCTGCTTCGATGATGAGCACGATGATGACGACGGTGGGGATGATGGCGATGGTGAGGATGAAGATTGTGGCGGCAACGATGATGATGATGATGACGACGGTGATTATGTAGAAGATGAAGCCGACGACCACGCTGGAAAATCAAAACGAAGACTGGAGGGGTAGCAGTGAGCGTCGTCGCCACAGGCGCACTAGTTTCATGTAGTAGCCCGAAGCTGGAACCCCATGTTGCAATAGGAATCAGGAAGCCCAGAAACCCTCAGCCATGCTCGGCCTTCTTGCAAAACCCCTCGCGAGTCCCTAGGACCCTAATACGAGATCTCCTGTGCAGATCCGCAAACTGCTCTGAAACCTCAAACCTTCAGAACTCCAAGCCAAAACAAACCCAGATAGCTTTGAAGAGCCCAAACTAAACTTCGCAGCCCAGAAGCCCAAATTTAAACTTCGTAGCCCAGAGAAGGCCCCCAAGAGCCCTTAGTGACGTTCTTCAGCTAGCAGGTGGCAGTCCGCGCCTCACCGAGCCGAGATGCAGTGGCTTTGTACTACAGGCGTCCCCTGGCCTAGACTTAAACTCAGGGTTTTGGAAGTAGTGCTTAGGCTTAGAGGGCCCAGCCAGTGGGTTAGGAACTGAGGGCATTGGCGACCTGCGAGGTGCATAGCCCCAGGGCCGGGGACTTCCAAACCCTAGGAGCCGACCTGGCTTCACAGCCTTAGCAGATTTGATTGCCAGTGCCTTGTCCTAAAAATCATATAAACCTGAACCCTATATGTATGTATGTATGCATGTAATGTAACGCAATGCAATGCAATGTAATGTAACATGTTGTAATGTAGTGTACTGTAATGTAATGCAATGGAATGTACTGTAATGTAATGTATTAATGTATGTATGTGTGTGCATATATACATACCTCTTGTGTTTGTGTATCTATGTGTATGTTGATTTATGTCCGTTGTAGAACTTTTGTACCCCTGGTACTGTGGGATCGTTGTTGGAAATTCTCTCGCAGCTATGTTTGGTTTCACACAGCGGACTCGTCGTCACCCGCCTCGCCTGGATTGTCCGAGTGTGAGGGCCGAAACCCTTTATACACCCTAAACCCTGAACGCCAGCCTTGAGCGAGTGTGCGTGTCGAAACCCTGAGCCCCAAACTCAACACCCCTAAACTTTGAACCCCTAAACCGCAGCGCAGACCCTCTAATGCCATGCCAGCCGAGTGCGAGTGCGTGAGTCGAAACCACAGCCCAGGCAAAGGCGAGCTGGTGTTTGCTCGCTCGCAGAACTTTGGCGGCTGGCTGCGCTTAGCCGGCGTGAGCCTCAGTGTCTACATCATGGCCGAAACTATTCGAAAAGAAAATAGAGGACCCCAATCTGTGAGATTAATTACATACGTGTAATATGTAGATATAGGTTGACATAGGCTTAGATATTATAGACTATAGATGTGTGTATCGCAGATTGATAGCACGGTAAGTAAAAGGACCCATATACAAGTCTCATGAGAGAACAGGGATTACAAGGAGCGAGAGCATTGCACACCTTTGAGGGGCGTGCAAGCCTCTGCCGACATTGGGCAAAACGAGAAGTGACGTTTAGCAGGGCAAAATAAGCCTAATGATACTGACTGGCAAGAACCGCTGCAAGGAAAGGCAGCGGTGCGAAGCAGATCGCTAGAATCTCATTTCACCCAGGAACAGTAGGGCCACAAATAGACTTATCTCCCTGACCTGGGTGAGGCGAAGAGGGCTGGATGTTGGCCCACGCGCCCGAGCATGGAACTTTGCTTCGAGTGCGAGAGGCGCTGACTAAGAGGGCCTCGTATCGACTCTTTGGGATCGCCTTCTCGTTGTGATGCTCATGATCAACTGTGGTGACAGGGCGATGATGGTGGCAACTGTGGTTTTGATGGTGGTGATCATGACGATGCTGATGGCGATGATGGTGCGATGTTGGCAATGCTTGATGGTCGTCATGCTGCTTCTCTCGTTGCTTTCATCTGCGTGCCTTATGTTACTCTGCACTGGCTCTTGCTGTTAGAGACTCGGAGTTGGAGTTATCTTGGATGATCGAAGTGCAGCGGGTTGCAAGGATCTGCGTTGTTCGCTTAGCAGCAACTCAACTGCCCCTGTTACTTACACCTCCTTGCGGTTGCGAGAGGTCACCGCCAATGCAGACCTTTGGTCCCTGTCCGATCTTTGGGCGGCCGTCAGACGCAAGCGAAGTAGCCAGGCTGCCAGATGCGGTCTATCGGGGTCAGGCTAGACCCGTAGTTCAAGTGCAGTGACCACGCGTTAGCGTGCCAACTGCAAGATGGTGGAGACCGAGGAATGCTGAGCCCAACAGATGTGCGGTCGCTCAAGGACGTCCCTTCTCACAACACGGGGCACCAGCCCAACAATTGAGGCATAGATAGACAGATAGATGGATGGATGGATAGATAGATAGATACATCATATGTGTTGCTACTGTTTGTTTCGCGACACAGAGGTCTTGCAATTTCTGGTTGTGTCTCGTGACTCCTTCAGTCTCTTTAAACCACGGGGGTCAGATCGCTGTTGTCAGGACGCCGAAGAAGGGACACTTCTCATGGCAGACATGGACTATGAGCACCATGTCGGGAGCTGATGAGTGCGCTTCACTGACTTTCGGGAGGTATTTGGATATACTCTGCCACCCATCTTGCTTCGGCATCCGCAGCTGTGTTATCCTGAATCTTCCGAGTCGGGTTGGTTTTCCTGGCGGAGGTCAAGACTGGCAACGCGGAATGCCTTGTAGAGGATGGGCTTCTGCTGAAGGCCGCTATGCCGCTGCTGGGTCCTCTGTCGAGACACTTCCTTGTCCAAATGTCCAATCGGAGGAAGGCTCTGCTGAGTGTACAACACATGTCGGAGGAAGACCTCAAGAAGCCAGACGACTGGATCCGCCAACGGCTGTTTGCTGCGAGCTCAGACAATGGAAACGCACAGCTTAAGGCTTAAGGCTTAAGGACGAGAAGCTTGTCGAGTCTGCAAGCGCCCATTCTTGCAGGCTTACTCCTTGCTCCGTATGGCCAAAGAGGAGCCTCCCCTCAACGTCGCTTGGCCACGCAAGACAACTGGAGCGTTATGACATCCGCTATGATACTACAGTAGCCAGTGCTGCCGACTGACAGACATGGTATGGACGGTCGGCAACGTCATCAGTATCCTCGTTGACTCGTTGTCACGGCCAGGACCATGAAAACCGCCATACGGTAGGAGTAGTAGTCGTTATCATCGTAGTCGTCGTCGTGGTGGTCGTCGTCGTCGTAGTAGTAGTAGCAGCAGCAGCAGCAACAGCAGTAGTAGCAGCAGTAGCAGCAGCAATAGCAGATGGCAGTCGAGGCAGTTCTAGCAGTAGTAGCAGCAGCAATAGCAGATGGCAGTCGAGGCAGTTCTAGCAGTAGTAGTAGCAGTAGTAGCGGTAGTAGTAGTAGTAGTAGTAGTAGTAGTAGAAGTAGTAGTAGTAGTAGTAGTAGCAGTAGTAGTAGCAGTAGTAGTAGCAGTACTACTACTACTACTACTACTACTAC